TATCACTTGAACATCGAAAACTAGATGTTTTTCAATATGTCTCACCACAATACGGATACAGTGTCTTACTTGCGTTTATGAATGCATACGCTGTAATAAATGCTTATAAAATTATAATGTAAGCGAAATCACAATTTGTTATGCATATTAATTAATTTATTAGAAGTGAGTATCGACACAGTCGCTTATGAGTAAGGTCTGTTTGTTTATACATATGTATGTAAATATGTTAATGAATACATATTCACAATGGCCGATGAGTGAACGGTAGCAATTGCAGACAATCATGAAACGTGAAGTAATTTTAATTAATATCTATTTTCGTTATTATTATTTGCTGTTGTATTTCGTTTTGTTCCGATAAAAATCAAGCTAAGGAATTCCTTTGTTCGAATTTATTATTCTATGAACATACATACATTACGGAGGGTAAAACAACGATTGGTTGCTAGACACCTCAAAAAAAGACTCTCCAATTATTAGCTCTTATTTGTAACGGGAAGATCGCCGGCCTTAAAGTTTTTAGTTTTTCTTATTATCATATAGAAAAGATTATATGTCGCTTCCAACTACTTGAAAACATAAGAGCATTCAATTTCMAAAAAAAAAAAAAAAAAAAAAAAAWCCATAAAACGTTCGCCCATCTTAAGATACATAACATATGTATGTATATATACAGTTGAACTTCCATAACTCGAAGTTCTCCATGATTCGACCACTTAATATGACCTAGTGGTCATGTTTTATACAAATTTCCTTCCATAAATCGAAGTTTCTCGAACCCAAAAACTTTTTGTGGATTATGGTGATTCGAGTTAGGGAAGTCCAACTGTATATATCAATATGTATCGGGTTTTTCAATACTGACGCTACAAAAGTAGATCAAACATTTCTCTTCGCCATTAAGGTTCGCCATTTCATCATGGAAAGATTTACGACCCAACAACGAGTCGAAATTATAAAAATTTTCTACCGAATTTCGGAGTCAGTGCCCTCAAACTGTGTATATATGTATGTTGTCCAGAATATTTTTTCTTTATTTTTAATTTTTATGAAGACCTTAAACCTTTTGAGTAATTAAATCGATTATTTTCTTGAATATAAAGACCTTTCAGATATATTATATTTCTACTTATTTATATTATATGTACTATATAAGTTCCTTTAAGTCCACTTTACTGTCTACTTGCTCCAGTTAATGGAATATCTTCGTAAGCATTAGATAATTTTTTATCAGTATTCACTGTTATCGATACACATTATGTATACAGCTTAATGTGTGTAATAATTCTAAACTTTTAGGTAAGTGCTTTATTGACAAATATTGAAAACACTTCTTGATAACGGTAGTGTAAACAAAAAGGTAGCTCAACTAACCCTCGCACTCACCTATCTACCATATAACTGTTTTTGTTTGCTTGGTCAAGATTATCTAGGATTTTATATACTTTATATATAGTATATCATYAAACTAATATTTACAATTAGATATAGTGTATTTTTACTATTTATCATTGTTTGAAATCTTTTATTCGATGATATTTTCAACATAAATGTAGTGCTAATAAAAAGTATAAATATATTTCTTGTAAAGTGTTGCTACCGAGTATACTAGTTTTGCTCACTTAACAGCTGTTTGTAAAACTAAACTATTCAAGAGTTAGATTAATACATAAGAGATCAGGATCACGACACGATTTCAATCTGATTCATTCACTTTCCCAATATATCGAGATGAAACTTTGTGCAAATAGTGCTGGTGGCATACCACCTCAAGTCAAAAAATTGTTTAAATCGCACAATAACTGCTCACGCCTCCAGTTACCGAAGATGCGGTCCGTAGTACTTACAGTGACTTTTCCGAAAATGTGGGTTAACATATCGGCTGAAAAATTCTAATATTCGGAGAGAATCCTTTTCTGATAATAGTTGGTTGTGTGCTAAACATGGCTTGAATCGGGTCAATACTTCCCTTAGCTGCCATATACCAAATACAAAGGTTTTCCATAAAGTTGTCCTTGCTTTTTCATTAAAATAGCCTCCACAAGTTATTTTCCAGGAACGATTTAGTTGAACCCAATTTTCGCGTAATTTTTCCACTAAATCAAGTTGTATGTCACGAACAGCACATTCAGTATTGACTTGAAGAGAGTCTGGTATATTGCGAAACACTAATAAATTCAAATAATCACACAAGAAGTAGTCTAATGGTGTTAAATCTGAAATTCTTGGAGGCCATTTAATGTCACTGTTTCTTGAAATAATCTAATCTCCAAACTTTTCTTGCAATAACTCGGTTGCTGCACGGACTGTGTGGCATGTAGCCCCGTTTTGTTGGAACTAGATGTTGTCAAGATCAGCTTCTTCCAATTGCGGCCATAAAAAGTAGATTATCATCGATCTATACCACTCGCCATTGACAGTAACCAGTGTCACCAGTTTCTTTTCGAAAAAAGTACGGACCGATGATACCACAAGACCAAAAACCACACCAAACTGTAAATTTAAAATTCAGAAATTCTCCGTAGAACATATATAGTTGGTAGAAAAAGTAAGTTATCAAAGTGAAATACATAGAAATCAGCGAAGTGAATAAAATTTAAAAGTTTATAATATTTTTCAAACGAAATACTTTTTTTTTTATTGAAACCATATTTCAAAGTATCTAGTCAAAGTAATTTTAAAATAAAAGAGAAGTTCATTGCTTTTATGAAAGGAAAACATACACACATGCAGTTAATTGCATGTAGAAAAAATAAGTTATCAAATTGTTTTATATCCACAATGTCCATAATTACGTTTTGCTAGTTGACCTCATCGTTATTTTATGAAGTTAGCAAGCTTCAAACACTAATTTCGAGGAAAATTATTCCAAATGTTATAGTTGCAGTTCTTTAAATCAATCAAGTCTTAAGGATTGCCCAAGTTTTTTCAATTGGTGACAAGTCAGATCTTTGAGGAGGCCATTTCAATATACTCACATTTTCATTTTGTACATGTTCTGTAATGACTTTTGCAGTTGTCCTGTCGAAGAAGGATATCCGGCCCAATTAGTCGATGATCCTCGGAGATAGCGTGCTACTTTAAAATATTTAAATAAACTGCAGCAGTAAATTTTCCTACCAGTATTACAATATTGCCAGGACCATTCGCAGATAAGCATTACCAAACCATTAAGCCCTTTTCCACCGACTTAACTGTGGGTAGAGTGCACTTGTATACTAGTTCTTGTTCGGGTAAGCACCAAACGTTAACCATACAGTGGGAATAACGAAGACAATTCGATTCATCAGTCCACAGTACAGCCAAAGATTTTAAGACTTTAATATGTCCTCTTTATAAAATGCTTGTCGTTTTTCTTATGTGTCTCATATAGGTAGAGTAACCTTCTTGCAACATGGCTGTGAATATTGGTTTGGTGCAATCCGTTACGGACAGTGTGCACTCAGGGCGCATTCATGCCTTCCTTTATAAGCTGTGCGCGAATTTTTGAAACTGATTTGAAGGGATCAGAATTGGAAATATCTCAACTTCGTTTATCATTTTATTATCGTTTATCGTTTTTCTTTGTTGTAGCCGGCAATAACTTTTCGTAATGCGACCTTTCTTTTATAAATTTTTTTAGTTATATAACGCTGCGTGTGATCATCGTTATGCAAATTAATTATGGCTGAACGTTCCTCATTCATTAATTGTTTAAAATTCACCATTTTTAGTTTTTTTTTTAATTTACCGTAAAAACCGTCTTAATATTTCAAAAAATTAAATTAAAAAAAAAAAAAACGAAAACTTTGGTTAACAATTCAATTTCAAAATTTATAAAATAAACAGCTCTTGCACGTTTTTTGTAATTTATTTTCACTCCACTTGATCACTTACTTTTGCCACGCTTTGTCACTGCGCAGTTCTATAGAAGGCGAAGAAAATTTCGTGCCAGTTAAGCGGATGCCATTAAAATCGTCGATTACGTTACTTTGATAATGGTCCTTTCCGAACATAAGTATACCAAAAAACATTATATTCAATTAAGCGAAAAAGTATAGAGCGTTTCAAACAGCGCTGGCTGTTTTGATAACTTATTTTGCTGATGTGCTGGAGACACTTCTATTATTGTGCACATAGCTGTACGTATCTATGTAAAGACAGAATAAGTAAGTTGCTAAAAATATTGCCAATTAACTGATAACGATATCAACAAATGCGAGCTGATGTGCTGAAACACTGTAAAGTCTTTCTTTGCAAAAATGATATCACATAAATATGCACGTAGCCATTAAATTTTATTGAGATGGAGTGCGTAAATTGTTTACAAATTGAAGGCTTAAATGAATTGTGAATTTTTTATATATTTCAGAGCTCACATAAGTCCAGCAACAAAGTGGATTCCTCGAATTTGACAAGAAAAGTAACTTTGGAAAAGTTTTTTAATAAACAGAAAATGCCTTCTATTTCACAAACTAAATTTGTTTTCAATCACTTTAAGTGTCCTTAATAAATTTCAAAACAGAATTTTTGTGTAAAATTCAAAAACGAATTTCATACTGCTCAATAGTGGGAATTCTCAAGCTTTTTCGCCTTTAAGTACGTACATATGTACTATATATGAATGTAGCCATACTTATTTTCTATGAAATCGCACTTTTATAATGGAAAAACATTTTTACTAAAAATAACAAAAGACGGCACTTGAAAATGCGCTTTAATTGGTATTGAGAAATATGGGCGATGGCAGAATTTATTTCGAGAACATATGGCCAAAAATTGTTGGCGAATAAACAAACTTGGCAATGAACTCATTTTTGAAAATAAATAATTTTATTGCCTTTATTTTGCTGTGTGTGTAAATATGTATGTAAAATAATACCAAAATGGATATTACAATAAAATTCCAATCCATTTCTAGAAGAAAGCTATTTTTATTTTAAATTTTCTTATCTAAAATAATTTTCAAGATTAAAAAATATAAATACTAAATTTTACTTTTTTTCTCTCTTTTACAGGACCAGTATGAAAATATATCGTCACAGACGAACAAAGGCATAGAATTCCTTGAAAAATATTGCAGTTTCATACAAGATCGTCTGGCGATAGAAAAAGAATATGCCACCAAATTGCGGTAAGTCAATTGCGTTCAGAGTAAAATAATAAGACAATCTTTTTTTCTATTATCAAACTATAAAATAATGCGTTGATTTACTAAACCATCATCTTTTATTCACCCCAGAGATTAGTAGATATTTTAAAACATGTCGTGAAGAGTTTCAATGAAGTAATCTGAAAAATGCTGATGTATGAAATTTTGTTAGATATTAATAACAAATCATAGACATATGTATGTATGTAGGTGGTGGATAATTCTCTTCTAGGCGAACATGTCAATCTAACAGATGATCCCTGCTAGGAGGTTTTGTTAGATCGTATTCAAGGAGCTTATGGCTAATTAAACAAAACAGAAACAGATGCAATAATAATTACCTATATTGCCCTCATGGAAAAATTCACACTATTGTGATTTAAATTAGAGTAAGTTGTTTATATCACAAGATAAACCCATATGTGCTGAATAATAGTAAACTCAACTGTTCCGAGTAGATCCACTTTTCCACTATTTTGTTATGTTTTTGTTATTCTCGAGAGTTCCTTGAAATTAAAGAATATCATTTAATACTTGCTCTGTAGATGAATGCCCCTGATTAAAGGCTATGGTTATATTGAAAAACAGTAGAACAGTTCCACGTTTCAAGTATACTGGCGCTGAAGGGTTTAGACCTTACTCAATCATGGGCATTTGGGAATTTAGGTATAAGGTAAAGTGCCGTAACAGCCGAACTCGATATTACTCGAAGTTCCAGTAATGTTGTTTAGATCTCTTCTGAGATCGTTCTCTTATGGCGAAGTGGTATTAATATCCCACACGAGTGAAATAGTCAAAGGACAACAACATTACATGTGGTTATTTAGGACAATTGCAGGCCGGATTAATAATGTACGGCAAATTTGCTTGTTTATATACCCATTGAGCAAGAAATACTATAGGTCTCATCGCTGCACAAAATTCAGCTTGAAAAGGTTTGATCTTCTTAGAAATTTTCAAGAGCCCTTAGAGTGAAGCAAAGTCGATTTCAATTTAAGATTTCCACGTAAAATGCGCCAAGTCGTTCTATACCACGGTCCGACGCCGAATCGACTCTCCACAGACTTCGCTACGGTTCCTACATTTTCTTCACTACGTGCTGGACCTGGTCTATAATGAATGCTTGGTTTCAAGATGGGTGGAATAGTACGCTCAGTAGGTCGATTATGTTGACCATAACTTGAGCGAAGCACCCGAAACACATCCTTTACAGGCATAAGTCCTTCCATGATGAAAAGGGCTATAGAAAAAGTACCTCTACTTAGATCCCCCGTTACATGTAACTCTTAGGGCAATTGCAGAGCGAATTACTAGTGTTGGATCTACTTAAGACCGTACATATAACTATAATATAAGCGACCTCATACAAATATATTCGTTATACTTATTGAATGCCTAGCTGTCTTTAATGGACTATTCTAATGCTGTGACTCACTCAATCCTTCACAAACTTGTCGACTCAATTTTCGTGTGCACGACTAAAGAGAGGTTGTCATAAAGGTATACATATATACTTTAATTAAATCTCTAAGAAATACCTCAAAGTTAAATAAGTAAGCAAGCAGATTATTTGAGCGCAGCTACTATTTGAAAACTGTGTGACGGTCACCGCGCTTAAATTTATTTGTCCTCGTGATTTTCCGATTAATTTTGTGACACTATTGACCAAAACATTTGTGACCACACCAAGCATGGCTTGAATTTTATTTGCCGTGCCTCTTAGAAGAGCCGTTAAGTTTTTCAAACTGCAAAGGCTATACAACAAATTAGCAGAAATAAAACAAATCATTTAATATGTTTGGCACATAAATTCACTTTATTTTCTACGCTGCCAATGTTGCAGAAAAAAAAAAAAATAAATAAATAAAATAATTGAATATTTTTAGACACCCAGTTAGGCGGTTATGGGTGGAAGAGCCGCAAATGTGTTAATGTGCCGCGTTGAGTTGCTTGAACGTCGCGCCCATTTTCAACAGCACATAATCTGAAGTTTGCAATAACAACAAGTAATCAAATAAGTTTGAAAAAAAAAAAGAAAATCACAAATAACAGCTGTGGCAGCCACATTCTTTTGCGTTGCTTGACAGACACCTGGATGGCTCGAGTGGTTGCCTACGAACATGTTTTCTTACTTATTTTTGACAAAAAAATTTTTAAAATATTTATTGTAATATTTTTGCAACATTTGCATCATATTTCTCAATTTCTTGTCAATATTTCTATAATTTTTTTTTATTGCTAATATTTTTAAAATGTTGAATGTCTACTATTTCATTTATTAAGGAAATCAGCCTACTTTATTTCGTAACTAATTCTGAATAACCTTCAAAAATTTCGTCTTGAGTCATCTACGATCTCATTAGAATTCACCTTACCATCGATAAAGACTGGTCTGTCATGAAGCGTAATCCTAAATTTTTTTTTATTATTTATTAAGTTTTTATTAAGTTCAATGAGTTAATCCACGTCGAAAGTGGCAAAAAATAATCGCTTGAAAATGTGCGCGATTTTATACCATTTTTTGGCTGAGATGAATATTTTAAGTAACTGTAAATAATGCAAATAGCGCTCGCATGTCAAAACGTTCTGTGTATGACATCAAACATGTCAAATTACTAATAATAAAGTTATGAGTTGGCAGATTGCACCAGTAGGACGCCCAAATCCCGAAATAGAAAAGGCAACCTACGTGAGTGCAACCACCGATTTTAGTCTCTTCGACAAAGTTTCAAGATGTCTGCGTTTAGTCGTGCAATGGCTTAAAAAAATTAGTATTAATGTTGCTTTACGTATACGTTAGTAACAGAAATGCGCTGCGATGCATAAATTTATCTTATAGCGAATTCTGCCTGGGTAAAGTTAACTAAGTTAAGTAACTTTTTTGATTTAAAGAAAATCTTCACGAAATTTGGCACAGATTATTGTACATGGTGGTGTTACAATATCCGAAGAAATCGTTCAGATCGGATCACTATAACATATAGCTGCCATACAAATCGACCAATCGAAATCAAGTGCTTCTATGAAAAACTTTTTTATTTTATGAGATATATTCACGAAATTTAGCATGGATTATGTTCCATGGCAGTTTTACAATTTGCGAGGAAATTGTTCAGATCGGACCACTATAATATACGGTTGGCATACAAACTGAATGATCAAAATCAAGTCCTTGTAGGAAAACCTTTTTTTTTATGGAATATTTTCACGAAATTTGGCAAGTATTATTTTTTTGAGCAATGTTGCAATATCTGGAGAAACTTTTCGGATCGGACCACTATATAAGTATACTGAACCATTAAGTCATTTTCTAGTATAGAAAACTTTTTTTTATATGCGAAGAATATTTTAGCTTAGGAACAACCAAAAAAATATTCTATAATTGAAAAATATTTTTCATTATTTTGATATTATTATTTTTTATTTATTAAATTCTTTTTGTCATTTCTAAATAAATTTGTAATTTTCATAATTTTACTTAAAATTATTTGAATATTTACGAAGGCCCTGAAGTTTTTGCTTTCGTAATTCTTTCTCTTGGTATTTAAATCTTCGTTTGTTTATTTATTTATTAACGCAGGTGAACATTCCAAACTTATATATAACCCCTCCATTAAGTCCACTTATTCAGCAATTATTCTTGCGCAATAACGCAACTGATTATAAAATAAATACACTTGGCGATGGTATCAATTGAAATGCGCTGTCAATTGAGCCAAGCAACAATTCAACAAATGGCGAGTGGCACCAAAGCAGAAAGCGCAAGTATTTATTTCACATTCACATTAAAAACAAAACCAAAAATAGTAATAAAAGTAAAAAGCTAGCGATCTCATGGCTCAATAGTCAAGATCGCCAAAATTGGTGGCTGCTCACCATGTTGAACCAAGCAACCTCTCGTATATATTTTTACATATGTATGTATGTTTGTTTTTTCCTACATATCACTCCACACCGTTAAGCTGAAACGATCGATCCAGCGATCGACTATTGAGACGCCAAATCAATGCGCGCTTTGCGGTGGTCCAAGTGAAGTCAAAGCCAAGCTAGCTAGCAAGCTTACATACTCATACATACAGCGCCATATGTGCAAAAAAAGAAATATTTATATTGTATATACATAGATATATGTGAATTATATATATTTGCCTCATTTATCTTATTTGCGCTGCCGCAAAAGCAAAAGTCTGAATCAAATGACGACAGTCGACTTGAAGGTCAGCGGCAAGAGATTAATTTGGCCTCACACACCCATACATATGCACTTACATATGCTTGATTTTGGTGCTCCACGCTTAGTGCTTGGCATGGTGCAGCTGCTAGCTTTTCCACTTACCGCTACTTGCTTGACTTTTAACCGTTTCGCTATTGAAAATCTCATTAGTTTTTATTCGCGCTTGAGAATGCAATGAGTAATTAAATGATTGCCTTACAAACTCACATGAAAAAAATCCACCTCATAATTGGGTGAATTGTGGTAATAAGTAATTGTTGTTTTGGTTTTTGTTTTTGTTGTAAAGTGAATCGGCGTTATTTGCGGTACTGCCGTGCGGTATAGGAAGAGCTTTGATATTTATTTCATTACCTCGCATATCTTTAGAAATCAAATAATCGACATCGGTAACCCTCAACCTTATAAAAAATATTATATTTTTAATTATGCTTTCAATTACTCGAGCCAAGATTTCCAGCTAGTTGCCGATTTTCAGTCAAACTCAACTCTGAAAGCTATTATCTGGCGATCTATAAAAGGACGCCATATGTTTTGTGGTCAAACCTAACCTTCAATTAACACTTGCATAAATACATCGGTTATAACCAGGTCCTTCTCCACCCGGTATTTCCAACGAAGTGGAGGTCAACCTCTTCCACCCTTCGGACGATAAGATCTAGGCAGCGTAGCCATTGTCTCTTAATTCGCTGAATTATTTCAATGTCGTCGTACATATCGTACAGCTCATCGTTCCAACGACTGCGGTATT